GCGCAACCCGATCCTACACCGGGAAGACAGAGCCGGCCTCCAAGCCCTTGGGATGTGCGCGGACCTCGAGCATTCGACGCGCAGGGAGTAAATCCGACTAAACCCGTGGAGGGGGCCGCATTCGGCGTTTCTCCTGCACAGGACCGCGATCCTGAACGGCCAAGCCCTCCGCTGCGCGGCGGAGACTGAGGTCGGCTCGCACGGGCGGGGGCGATCCTCCACCCACCCCCCACCCCCGCTGCCTTCCGCTCTGCTGCTCAGTCCAGCTCCAAGCCCACTTTTGGATGGGTACCGATCCAGAATGCTCAGCCCTAGTCCCGATCCTTCGACCATTCTTTATCATTGGAGGGGTCCGTTCCGCGCGCCATCCACCGCAGGCCGAGCGTGCGGCGGAAGAAAGTCCAAGGAAGGTGAGGGGTTTCGGATCAGCCAGGGAAGTGGTTGGTCCTCAGTTCGGAACTCGGCCCCCTCCCCTCCTTGCCACGACCCCCTTCCTTGGCCCGTTCTTCCTCTGGCAGGGGGGCCTTTCCTCCTCCACCGCTAGGCACCCTCCCCCTCCAACTCTCAACACACAGACAGGCACGCTAAGAACAGGTAAAAGGGGTGGGGAGGGGATCTGAGGGCATCTCTGGGGGAGACAGGAAAGGAACCGGCTTGCACAACTTTCAAGGCCATGTGCCACTGTCAGATAGCGGTCCAAGAGCAACACATCTTCTCTGGATGATGGGATATGTTTGCCGATGGAGAACATCAGCCCCACCCGAAATCCTGGCTGAGCATCCTGGGGGCCCGAAAGGGAGACACCCCCCCCACACACACACACACCGGAGACTCCTTGGGCTGGATAGTGCCCTTCGATTTAACTTGCACCCGCTTCCCAGTGGGCAAGACCCGGTCGGCAGCAGGGTCGGCTTGGGTCTCTCTCGTTTTTTTCTGGAAGGGGGTGGTGGGTGGGCTTCATCTTTCTCCACCAGCTCATCATTGGGGGCCGGGAAGGGAGGAGAAGCTTGGCAGCTGGGAGTAACAAAACCGGAGCAGCATCTGGCACATCTGGTGTGGCTACGACCCCATGGAAATGCTCCAATTGTGCTCCCCCAAGCCTTTAGGCCACCACAGCGAGGTCTACCCGGGCACTGGGAGGTGCCCTACCAACCATCACTGATTTGTGCACATCCTTCACCAGTGTCTCCAGTCCCCCCCCCCCCCCCTCGGCCCGCGCCTTTCCC